CGTTATTAGTGAGGAAAACACAAAGCCTTATTTTTCCAGCAGGGATTTCTTTAAGGATTAGAATCACTTGACATCCATTTTCCTTATCTCCCATCAGTTTACCCATCCATTTTGCTAACAGCCCAGAGCACTTTATCCATATTAACTCTGTGTCATTTGGAGCAATCCACCTTCTCAACTACTGTGGGCACTTCCTCAATGCAGCACACAGCTCTGGGGAAAGGAGCAAGTCTTCAGGCTCTGACCCCATGGACACAAATAAAGCCTGGATGGTAGGGCAGATACCGGATCCTTGTACCATCCACTTCTGAGCTTGCCTGAGAGGTATCCTCTCTGATGACTCTTATCAACTGTTGCCTCTCCATTACCATCATGGTTTTTGCATTCCCAACCCTTGGTTAAGCAGAACTGAAAATGCAAACTGCTGTATCTGAAGAAAGGAACAGAAAAACTGAAGAAAACCACACAGCCCCTGCTCCACTGCTCCAATTTAGCAGTCCACCTCTACTTAGCAGTACTTGCATGTATACTTATGCATGTGATTAATTTCCATTCACACAAGCACATATTTGAATGCTTTGGCAAACCGGATGAGCAGAAGCATATGATGGAATGTTTGCTGAATTAAGGCCTATGGAAAAGTCCCTTGCCAAAACCACTCAACGGGCACCAACTGCACTGCCTCCTCAAGTCGTGTTTGCATGCTCTGATTTAGTTCTTTTCACCACTTCCCAAAACAAGGTAGTTCCATTGCATAAACCTGCCTTGGTGGGGAGAACAAACACATGACTGTTAGTATTTCAAGCAGTTTAGGTCAGTATATGATGGGTATAATAAAGAACCAAAAGCACAGGTTGTTAATTTTAATTCAGAACTAGTCACTACAGACTGGAACCACAGTCATAGAACCCTGGAATGGCTTGGGTTGGAAGGGACCTTAAAGCTCATCCAGTTCCAACCCCTGCCATGGGCAGGGACCCCTTCCACTGGAGCAGCTTGCTCCAAGCCCCTGTGTCCAACCTGGCCTTGAACACTGCCAGAGACGGGGCAGCCCCAGCTCCTCTCACAGGGAAGATTCTTTTCCAGTCATATGGAATCTCACTCATTTGGACCGCATGAAGGCAATGCAATAAACACTGCTTTCCCTGTCACGTCTCACTACTCAACTAAACGAGCAATTGAAGTGCCAGGTTTATTTTATATCCCAGTTGTGCTTTGTTAGTTCTATTTTGTATCATTGATTTACAGTCCCCAGGTGTGGTTTATCTCAAGCACCATGGCAAAGCACCTTCAAAGCCAATGCTCAGATTTCCAAGATAAATGCAAACAAATACAAGGCAACATATTGGTAAGTTCAACAGTAACAACAAATCTAATCTGAAGATACCAAACCACTAAACCAACCCTCAATAAACCTTTCTCTATACAATAGTTCATCATCTCCTTCCAAAGTCATTTTTCCAAAGCCAATTCAAACTTGCTGCATTCCCAACACAATGTAAAAGGCTGATGGAAGAATCACCTCAGAGTATGAAATGCCCTCAGATTTTCAAACATCACCATGCATTTAGGCTGATCACCACAAGCAGCCTTAAATATTGTGGGACTGGCCTTTGTATCTATGTTAAAAATATACCCTGAAGATAAGATGCTTCTGATACTGCTCTTGCACCAAATGTTTACTCAAGTAAAGAGGCCACATGACGAAACACCTCCCTGCACAAAGCAAGAGAATACACAGAATGAAGGAGCTGTAACACAGATATTTCACAACCCTCCTGAAAGAAAAGCCAGAGCCCTAAGGACACGCGCATTTTTAAGGTACAATCTAAAGCAAAGTATCTCCTGGATATGGCAAATTGCACAGACAAATCCATGTCTTTTTAATGTGTCCTGTTTTATAGCAGCAGCTAACACATGCTCTAAACCAAACTATTATAATTGTTGTTGCTCTCACACCAGTGCTCTCCTGTGCAGCACTAACACACATCTTTTAAGCACCAAGGATAAGCTGTCACCAACAGTAGCACATCTAACTCAACTTCTCACCCGTGCAGGACTCCTCAAAGCCAGACCAAGTGAGCCCAAAAATTAAAGGTGAAAGAGTTCAAATAAATCAGTAGCCTTCAAAATATGGTCAAAGCTTGCAGGTGGGAGACAGTTGTGTTTCCAAAATGATTCCTCAATCCATGTTCGAACACTCACATGTGTATTCCACTCTCCAGAATCTGACTGATGGCCATATCTTTCCCTTTTAACCAGGTTTCGAGGTGCCCAAGGGGGATCCTGAGGAGCATGTAAGCTTTTAATTTCAATGGAAAGCTTCTGCTTAAGAAGAAGGTTATCTCGTTTTGAGAGTTCTATTAAAAACTAATCCATCTTCTGGAGAGACAGGGAGACAAGGATGGGTTTTGAGGCAGCTCTAACAGCGGAACTGGCTTTTCAGGAACAGCCACTTTCTGCCCGTGTGAACTGTTTTACTTTACTTTCCCCTTTAGCAGGCTGTATCAGACATAAGACCCAATAACACCAATTTCCATATTAACATCGGCTTTTTTCCCCTTGACATTTTAACCAGTATGGAGAGTCTCCCAGAAGGGAGATGCTACAGAGAAGGAAAATGAAAGGAAGAACAGGAGAAGGGGGAGAAACAACAACTGAAATGAGGGCAGAAGCACTTAGACAAATCAGGCAATTAATAAAACACAGTGCTAGTACCCTGGAAGTGAAGTTTTCTAAGGAAAACATGGTTTTACATTCTTTGTATGACTTGCAGGCAATTTCCTGAAGACAGGAGTGGGTATACTCCCAGTGGTCGGACAAGCCACCATTCTCAAACACAGGTACTCAAACCAGGCGTTGCCAAAGTGCTGCCCAAAAGATCCTGTAGACTGACAGACTGGTCTGGTAACCACTTCAGCAGATTTAGTATTATCAACCCAAGCAACTAAATAATAAGAATAAAATTCTCAGTATTTATATTACCATATTATATTAATATGTATTATTATATTATATCCATATATAATAAAACTATATTATATTCTAATTATGAATTATAATATGATATAATATATAAGAATATATTGTATTATTATATTAAGTTAATATTATTTATATTCTCTTCATTAGGGACTGTAGTGATAGGACAAGGGGTAACGGGTTAAAACTGAAGGGGAAGTTTAGATTGGATATAAGGAGGAAATTCTTTCCTGTGAGGGTGGTGAGGCACTGGAATTGGTTGCCCAGGGAGGTTGTGAATGCTCCATCCCTGGCAGTGTTCAAGGCCAGGTTGGACAGAGCCTTGGGTGACCTGGTTTAGTGTGAGGTGTCCCTGCCCAGGGCAGGGGGGTTGGAACTTGATGATCTAGGGGCCTTTCCAACCCTAACTATTCTATGATTCTATATTGTAATGCCTGAATGAGAAGCTCTGCAAATAGAAAATTCACTGCTTTACTTCTCCAGCTGTGACCGCAGTTTGTTTTTTAAGCCACTTCCTGTGAAGGACCATTATGCAAGTCCATCCTGGGGAAAGGGAATTTCTAAAGGACCTTGAAACTAAGTAATTTTGGAGGACAAAGCAAAAGGAAACTCAGGAATGTTTCCAGAGCAAACCTCTCTTTTTACTTTTTAATGAAGAATTATGCAATATTGACAGGGGGTGATAAATCTCCTCATTCCTCCTTCTCTTCAGCCCTTGCTTGGAAGCCCGCATGGGAAGCTTGCTGTTCCTGCATGCAGAGATCAGAGGGCAGGAAGGTTTTCATCCTCAACTAAATCTTGACCTTCCTACTAACACTGCCAAATATCTGGCCATTGATCACCAGATGTGCCAGCATTTTATATAGGCAATTTGTAAGTAGGAACTTCACAAAGACCATGACATCTACACGCAACCCAACAGCAAGGTACTTGTTTCTCTGGAATCACCTGAGGCTTAATCCTGTTGAGATATCTTGCCTCTGTGTCAGTCAACCCACACACAAAACAAGCAAGTGGCCTTCCTCTCCAGGCACAGATTCATACCATGTATTTGAATGCAGTGAATATTTTAAATCCTTATAGAAAAAAAGGTTAATGCCATACTTCAGGAACGATGAAAGCACAGTGTCACTAACAGAAGAGCTGTCCCATAGAGCCATGTTGCAGAAAGCACTTTTAATATTTATTACTCAATTTAACTTCCTCTCCCCCAAATGCTTTTAAATCATACAGATATGAACAGTGAAAACACACTCTGTAATCATGGTTTGCATCAAGTGAAAGTTATTTTTCTAGCACATATGGAAGTAAATGTTTAAAATGTTGGGCATTTAAGAAGAAATTATTGCAAATTCAGACCTTCCATCACACCTTCCTACAATTAGGAAGCTCAAAGCAGCCTCTGCAAATATTCAGCATAATAAAACATGATTAAAGACAACCAACTGCTTAGATTTAGGCTATTGAAAACTCCTGTATTTAAAGCAAAACAAATTTTAAATGAACAAATTCTGTTTCCAAGCAATGTACTCAATTTGGGTTAGCCTCGGCATCAAACAGCACCAGGTCAACTTGATTAAACTGCAGTGCAATAGTTTTAGCATGTGATGTACTGACCAGCTCGTGATTTTGGTTAACACACTTCAAAGGGAGGAGGTAGAGAAGAAGTCCCATGACCAGCTTCAGAAGAGTTATTCAGTGTCTCAGTGCAAAGACGGTATCTTGGACAGAGACAGACTCATTTTGTATTCCATGCAATTAAAGGTTGAACAAGCTTTTATCCTTTTTGTTTCATTTTATAATCCATCACAGCAGAGAGTCAGTTCTTGTTTACAGCTTGTCATTAAACATGTACATAGTAAAAGTGGGAAAGAACAGAAGGACAAGATAAGAAGCATCTTTGGACTACTGTCTCACCCCTTTTCAGAGTTACCAAGATTGGCAGGAAATACAGGCCATTCTGCAAAGAAATCGTCTGTTTTCTTCACATATTAACAATTCCAGAATTCAATACTTACTCCATCATAGATGGGGGAATAGTACAGCAGTCCTGGATTGCAGTCAAGGGTGATGTGAGGTGAGCAGTGTATGATGCTTCCACCACTTGCTTGTTCCGATTCACAACATCCAAGTAACGGTTAAATTTCTCCCGAATTTTTTTGGCCAACTGAAAAAAAAAAAGAACATTGATTAAAATCAGGCAGTTTCTCTGCATCCCCATTCCTTATTAACCAACTTGATAGTAAAAACTGCATATGTTAAAGATAACAGTTAAATGCTTTGCTCATTGTACTTCTATTTTGATGAAGTCAAGCACTTAATAATATTGGCCACAGAAAGCAGTCTATATAAACAGATAAAATACATTTACCATCTAGCAACCTGAATATAGAATTCTGCATGTATGAAAAGTGACATTTCCATTACATCAGGCTTCCTTATAATTAAGCATTGAGACCTGAATGTTACTCTCCCTATGCTACTGGCTTACAACTGAATTGTTCTGATATGATGCTCTTGCAAGGCCTGGCAAGGGCATGATGGAGACTAAAATAAAAAGTCAACTTAAGGAAACCCTATAAGAAGCCCAAATAATGGTATTACAAAAGACCTCACCTATAGAGCAATCTTTTACTGCTTCAGGAGCAATCAACCAACAGCACATGTGCAGTGTGCTGAATGTATTCAAGAGAATAAGCTCAGGATCCAGACAGCCCCAAATACCACCATGAATGTTCTCTGTTCATCAACAGCCTCCTCAGCCAAGTAGATCTGTGCAGAAGCATTTCGTATCTCCTTTCATGTAGTTCTGATTGTGATTTGGATAAAAAAAGCCTTTCCCTCTCTTGCTTTTTTCTGTGTATCCTCTACTGCCTTGCTAGGGTCACCGCAAGCTCTTAACTGAGCATCTTTCAAGCGATTTTCTTCACCAGCCTAGCAGCTTTCTGTGGCTAGTTATAAGCTACAGCAGTTCTAATTACAAACTTCAACAGCAATATGAAAAACATGTACTTGACATTACATTGTAACAGAAAGAAATAATGACAGCTGTCTTGCACAGGTGAAATACTTCCACAAGCCTTTTGTTGCCAGAGGCCTGATGAATAGGTTGGCCAGAGAAGCTGTGGCTGCCCCATCCCTGGCAGTGTTCAAGGCCAGGTTGGACACAGAGGCTTGGAACAGGCTGCTTTAGTGGAAGGTGTCCCTGCCCGTGGCAGGGCTTGGAGCTGGAGGAGCTTTAAGGTCCCTTCCAACCCAAAACAGTATGGGATTCGATGACTCTATGATGAAGGCAGGCACTTATAAATCAGGACTAGGTTTACAAGTTACATTATTAAAAGCAGATGATCGTATTTCTCTCCTTTCAGAAAGTGAAAACTAACAGACTGTTATTCCTCCCTAGCAATTCTCAGGCCTTGAAAACAATTAAGAGTGCCTAACTAGAAAAGGCAAACTGGGCATTTCAGCCCTTTGACTGTTTCTCGGTACCAGGCAGGTTGGAAGCAGTCTGAAGGCACGCTGTGTTACCAAGGGTAGAAGCATCAGGTTTTACAAGAGCCATTTACTAAGACTTTTGCTCCTGGTCTTTTATCCAAAGCCAGAAATTAACAAAACAAATCAGGCACATACAAAATTTGCTCTGGCACATTCAGTGCCCTGTTCACACCAACATACTTGTTCTAATTAATCATCGGCCAGATGCCTCCTAAATGAAACAGAACGATTCTAAACAATATAGCCCTGGTGTTGAATACACAGAAGTAGGCATTTTGCATCTCTGCAGACCTTCCTCAGGGCTGAAGGCAGCTCATTAATTCACAGCACTCATCTCTGCTGCTCCCTGGACACCCCAGGCTCTATGGGGACGATTTAACAGTGCCGCTACATTTGTGCACTGAGAAGCACACTCGGTTGTTCCAGATCCCCTGCACTGACAAATGTCTTTCCTAACTATTATTAACAGGACATTTCATCATGATTTACTTCGTTATGCGAATAACGAGGCCCACGCTGATAACAGCACTGCCTTTGCCTCCATTGTTCCCAGCAAATGCTGCAGCTTAACAACAGGTCTCCTAGGAGCACAGGTTTTAATAGGACCTTGCTCAAATGACTTGCAGAATTATACCTAATTAGTTTTGCAGAATGATTTATTGCCAAGGCACCAGAGGACTACTAATGGTCTCCTCCATGTTAGGCATCCAACACAATTAAATTACTCCCAGTTGTTAGATCATAAGCTGCTGGGTTGTTCCTTTTCTATTTTCTGGTAAACTTTGTCTAATTGTACTGCTCAAACGTGTCCTTGAGAAGTGGATTCTTCTGGAGGGTTTCAAGCCAAATTTCCTAAATCAAAGCATTTAAGTTGCATGGGTACCAAGTTCCCCTTTCAGAGAAGGCAAATGAAATACCTGTGCTTAAGTGCTATGTAAACCAGATACTTGAGTCTATTCACTTTTGTGGTTTCACTACCTGAAATCACAAAAATGGGAACTTGAATTTGCTGAAAGAAGAACCACACAATCAAATAAGCAGGAATAGAACTAATATGGAGCATCAGAGCAAAAGGACATACATTTGGAATCACACCTTTTCCTGATAAATGAATGCTGCACATTCCTGGCAGTGTTCAAGGCCAGGTTGGACACAGGGGCTTGGAGCAAGCTGCTCCAGTGGAAGGGGTCCCTGCCTGTGGCAGGGGTTGGAGCTGGGTGAGCTTTAAGGCCCCTTCCAATTCAAACCATTCCATGATTTGATAATGATGATGCTTTGGCATTAGAGAGTTTTCACCTTCCAGGTTCACCAACAAAAGCACCCCACAGCCTTTGAATTTTATCCTACTGTGCAGAGCCTGAAGATCTGACAAAACTGATGAAAAGCAAACGCTCAATACCGAAACTGCATCTCCCAGTGAAAAACCTCTGAACAGCTCAAAGTCATTACATTACTCTGGGTAAATGGGATCCAACACTTCAGTTAGGGCAGTTAGTCAAATGCATGCCAGCAACAAGGGACTTGAAGCCTCCCAAAGCCACACAGACATCTACTCCCTGCCATGGTTAGAAGTACCTAATCTGAAGAACCCCAAAAATACTGCCCTCTGATAGCAACAGAACACTTCTAGCAATCAAAACCACTTTAAAAACAACTAACTCAGAAAAGCTGGATGGCAAGATGATTCAAAAGCCATTTTCCATTGAAAATTGATTACAATGACTAAACCATGTTAAGAACCAAAGGTTAACACACCATCCAGTTCAAAGTTAATAAAAACAAGTGGTTCTAATTCACCAAATTGAGAAGTAGAATCCAGATGAAGCCTAAATAAAACCCTTAACTTAATTTTTCTTCCATAGTTGGGCTTCACTGGAGCACAAAAACCCATGACAGCGAGCAGGCATTCCAGCTCTCAGTGATTAAAACAACAGGCAGAAAACACTACATGCTTCCTAGCTCCTCTTCTCTGCCTGCGTGCCCATGCATGCATGCATGCACACTCACACCATTAGCTCAGAAACGTTGTTCAGTTTGCAAAGTGATGCACTCAGTTGTCAGAGTAAAAGCTGCACGGTTAAAGCAGCTCCTCATCTTTCTAAACTAAAACCTAAACCCTTTGCCCAAAAGATCCCTATTTGTTCCCAACGTCTATCCTGCTTTTTCTCACCTGCCCAGAGCTGCCGAGCCATTGCATACACATGGATATAAGACCTGCACCACAGTGGTTACAAAACCTCAAAGGTACAGAAAGAAAGAGACAACAAATAATGAAAGGACAGAGCACTGACTATGAAACCATCCCAATATCATTGTTAAAACATTGTCAAGGCAAAATGGGAAGTTGTGTCCCAAATTGGGCACGTAAAAGGCAGCCAACATCCCACACTCAGGTATACCCTTGGGTAGGTACTAGGTGTGACAAACATTTCCTGCTCCCACAGAAATTCACCCATTTTAATGGGGACTAAAATACATGTGGAGAGCTTGAGATTGACATCAAATGTTGTTATCCTCAGGTCGCTTCTCAAAATGCTCTTCACCCCATTTTCAAACCAAGGGAGAGGGGGAAGCCTTGCTCAGCATTTCTCTTATCTTTTTTCAGCTTTCCCCTTAACTTTCAGGACCCGAATAACAAGAAATGAGTGTTTGGAGCAAACAATGCAGCCATGAGCTCCAATTCTAATGTATTTCTGCGGCAGCTGGATTGCAGCCAGAGCGTTCCAGTCTGCAGACAGGTTGGACGGCAACACCTGTTTCTATTACAGCAGCACCCATGGGTAATGCACTTCAGTTGTCACCATCTCCATTGACAACCTTTCATCACAACATCAGTGACTTGCTATAATTTTCCCAGAGCTTTTCCTCATTTGCATAGTTCCCTTGAGCTTTTTCTTCTTATAAAGCTTCGTTCCCCTCAAAGCTCCACAGCTCTGAAGTCTTCCCTTTCCAGGGAGCACTGAGGGAAAGCAGAGCTCCAAGGTTAGGTTTTCTTTCTGGCTGCAGCTTGAAAGCCAAAGTACTGTTAATGCTTTCAAGACTGGATATAAATTATGCATCAGTGAGGTCGACAAGCACGGATGTCATAAATGGACTCACAGACAGGGATTTAATGCTGCCAGGCTCCTTGAAAAGTATGGCTTATACATTGAAGAGTTCAGTTAATAGAATCATAAAATGATTTGGGTTGGACGGGACCTTAAAACTAACCCAGCTCCAACCCCTGCCACGGGCAGGGACCCCTTCCACTGGAGCAGCTTGCTCCAAGCCCCTGTGTCCAACCTGGCCTTGAGCACTGCCAGGGATGGGGCAGCCACAGCTTCTCTGGGCACCCGGTGCCAGCGCCTCAGCACCCTCACAGGGAAGAGCTTCTGCCTAAGAGCTCAGCTCAGTCTCCCCTCGGGCAGGTTCAAGCCATTCCCCTTGCCCTGTCCCTACAGGCCCTTGTCCCAAGCCCCTCTCCAGGTTTCCTGCAGCCCCTTTAGGCACTGGAGCTGCTCTCAGGTCTCCCATTCAGGAGTCTTCTCTTCTCCAGGCTGCCCCAGCCCAGCTCTCTCAGCTTAGAGATGTTGTGGCTGCTGTGCTCCAGCTTCTCTGCCGGAGTTCAATGTATCAAAACTATTCTGGTCAATCTGCTCCTGCTTGAGTCTTTACCACCATTCTGTCTCCTCCTTGGAGCCCAGTTTCACATTCTCCGTGCTGCAGACACCAGATGTCTGGCAGGATGCTGAACACATGCTGACTTCCTTGAAAACAGCTAATCTAGATTTCCCCCTAATAAAACTAAGCACCTTCCCCTTTATTTACATGCCTAGTTCACACCACTGCATTTTCATATTGTGAGCTCTCTGATATGGAAATCACTTCCAGGAAAGCAATCCAAGTTCTTTTTGGCAAACACCTTCCAATCTTTAATAACCTATTCATTGCGAGAAAAGGTTTTATCTGCTGCATACAATAGCAATTCTATAACTAGAGACCTTAAAGTGTAAGCAGTTTAACGTCAAAAGGCAAACCACTCTTTGTGTGGCATGAAGGGAGCCAAGCCTATTAAACAGGCCTGAAGGCCAACAGCTGTAGTTTTTCCACTTTCTCAACAAACTGAAAGTCCCTATTTACACAGTTTGGGATATATAAAAAGCACCCCTCCAACAACCCAGTGGTCTGCCAGAACAAAATCCCACCTGACACAGAATGAGAATTAATTGCCTTTGGGTATCAGTTGCTAAGAAAATGTTAATGAATGACAAAGCCAGGAATGAGCAACAGAGGATTTAATTTGCTTACATTTGTTTGCATTTGCTCATGACGATGCTGTTCGATGCACTACTCTTACTCATAAAACTCTGGTTATATTGCTTGTGATTCATTAGGGCTAAAGGAGCTGGTTATTAATGAAACAGAAGTACTCAATTATTCTTCTATCCACTTCACTGTTGAGCTTTTAACCACAGCAATTATGCTTCACCGGGGCCTCGTTTTTCTCCTCTGACAGCTCCGAATTCATCACACTACCTACAGTGTTTAGACAGTTATTTAGATGTACTCAGGGTGAATAGGTACATCTGGGGAACAAGCAGAGTCTTTTCCTAAGTGGAGAATCAATAGTTAAGACTTCAAAGAAGTTTTAATCCAGTTTCTTGTTTCCCCAAACCACTTTTGCCTTTCCAAAGGCCATCTGATATGTATAATGTAGCCCACATGGCCCTTTCACGGTGTGCAGACCACCCAGAAACACTGGAGGAAAACGCTACCCTGGTGCAACGTCAAAGCCAACAAACCCTGTTTCTAAGATGTTGGGATGCTTTCAGATTTAAACCTTTAGAAGCTGGGTGACAATGACCCTTTCCTAGACCCTTTGCAAGCCAGCACCCACCTGTGCATGCTTACAGGGAAGCAGAAACAACCCAAGGGTGGATGGTGGGCTCCAGCACCCATCTCCTTCACCTCCACTCTTGCAGATCCAACCTTGGGCACCACATAAACCAACCACCCAGCATCACCAATTGCATGATACCTTTCCAAGCAGGAAGTTTCTTATAAGGAATCATAATTTGGGCATCCAATATTAGGGGTTTTATTTTATTTACAATATTTCACTGATACATCAAAAAAACCCTCAAAATCCAACATATACCAAAAATAGCAGCAGAACACACATCAGAATTGTATAAATCACTAACAATGATATAAATGAACTACTCAAATACACAACCATAGGATGTGGACTTCCAAGGGAAAAATATACCACGTAAGTGAAGAAAACAGGATGCTATTAAACTCAGTTCCATATAAGCCCTTCTTCATTATGTATTCTCCATTTAGATGCTGCCCAAACACAAAATAATTTGGGATTGCTTTTGGAAGAAAGGAGATTTAAACAGCAATAAAAGGGTTCTAATGAAACATTAACATCACATCTGCTGTCCCTATATGACATTCACAGTGGTGATACAGACATAGGAAAAAGCAGAAGCCAAACAAACCCAGGAAACCATAAGGATAATTATTAAAGGCATGGAAAGTCGTCTTAGAATCGCAGACTGGTTTGTGTTGGAAGGGACCTTAAAGCTCATCCAGCTCCAACCCCTGCCATGGGCAGGGACCCCTTCCACTAGAGCAGCTTGCTCCAAGCCCCTGTGTCCAACCTGGCCTTGAACACTGCCAGGGATGGGGCAGCCACAGCTTCTCTGGGCACCCTGTGCCAGCGCCTCAGCACCCTCACAGGGAAGAGCTTCTGCCTAAGAGCTCAGCTCAGTCTCCCCTCTGGCAGGTTCAAGCCATTCCCCTTGGCCTGTCCCTACAGGTCCTTGTCCAAAGTCCCTCTCCAGGTTTCTTGTCATCTGTCCCTTTAGGCACTGGAGCTGCTCTAAGGTCTCCCTGGAGCCCAGCTCTCTCAGCCTGGCTCCAGAGCAGAGCTGCTTCTGCACAGTTCACTTGAGAAGCCAAGCGGGAAATGTGGCATAACAAAGACAGGCAGTAAGATTGAAAACAGAAGAGGAAATATCCTCCTGGCTTAATGAGCCCTCCCCATATTCTTTTTACTATTGTATTACAGGTGATGATCTCAACTGTGGTGAATGAAGATCATAAATGTTCCTATAGCCAAATGGAGTGTGTAGGACAGACATCTATAAAACACTCAAGTTTTATCCGAAACCTGCACCAGGTAACTTCCAACTAACCACAGCTAGAGAAAACCTCCTGTAAAGCCTAACATCTATTACCCACAGGGTCTATTGTTAATACCAAAAGCAGTAATTTATCAGGATTAATGCATTGCTCCAGTTCCTTCTAATGTTTGCCACGTGGATCTGTACCTGACCAAACAGACACCTAGCACAGACAAAGGTGAACTTTGCTGGCTTTATCTAAACACCAACCTTAACATTTCTATGATAACACACACGAAATTCACCTCAAAATGTCATGTCAATGTTAAATTGTGAATGTTGAGTGTATGATGTCAATCTGGGTCTCACATAAGTCCTATATCATTAATAGATGCTCTTATATTTACCCAATTTTTCTGTTAACATTACACACTTCAATTTAATGCCAGTATGGGACAACGTTTCTACATCAAAAACTTGGTTTCGGTTTTACAGAAACCCAGCATTAGGGGAACTTTCCTGAACTATTCCACTTTCTGCAAATTAATTTAGCTCTTACATTGACCATAATTCCATCAAAAGCCACCGTTTTTCTTCTGAAATGTTAGAGGAGGTGAGTGCTGCTTTCTAATGCAAACTCTCCAGAAGGACCAGGGCAGGGATTGTGCCCCTGCGCTGGGCACTGAGGAGGCTGCACCTCAGATCCTGGCTTCAGCTCTGGGCCCCTCACTGCAAGAGAGACCTTGAGGGGCTGGAGTGTGGCCAGAGAAGGGCAATGAAGCTGGAGCAGGGCCTGGAGCCCAAGTGTGATGGGGAAGGGCTGAGGGACTGGGGGGGTTCAGTGTGGAGAAGAGAAGGTTCAGGGGGGACCTGATGGCTGCCTCCAACTGCCTGACAGGAGGATGGAGCCAGGAGGGGCTGGGCTCTGCTCCCAAGGAACAAGGGATGGGACAAGAGGAACCGGCCTCAAGCTGCACCAGGGCAGGTTCAGATGGAGCTGAGGAACAATTCCTGCCCCAGAGGGTGCTCAGGCATTGGAACAGGCTGCCCAGGGCAGGGCTGCAGTCACCGTCCCTGGAGGTACTCAAAAGTCAGGTAGACATGGCACTTTGAGACATCAGTTAGTGGTGGATTTAGCAGTGGTGGGGGAATGGTTAGACTTGATGATCTTAAGGGTCTTTTCCAACCTAAGCGATTCCACGACTCTATGATTCACAACTGCATTTGATCCAGCTCTGCTTTGACTTTTGCCATGGGGAAATTTAAGCATTTACAGTAAACACAGCTCAGGGTATTCTTGGTTTCTATTACATGACCAGTTTTTAATGCACACGAGCATGCTATATACTGGTACACTCTTGGAAACCAGCAGCAACAGCTCATGCACAAAGCAGGCTACCTGCAGTGCTGAAGAGCAATTCCCTTTTCCTCAGGGACAGCCCTTCTCTGAGGCACTTTTGTTTCTAGTGCACATTAAAGCTGGTTTGATAGGGATCTAGGAAGGCCAGGTTACTCACTGAAGGTTGCGCCAAATGAGCACAGGCTTAAACTGGAAGGAAAAGCTGGTTATTGTTCAGATGCTTGTGCTGCCCATGCAGGGCAGCGGCTGACTCTTCTACCCAGAACCCATCCTGTTTATAGCATGAAGGCGCAGTTGTGAGCATACAGAATTGGTACCTTAATGTCTTAAAGAAGAAAACATGACTGATTGGATCTGTTTTAAAACTGATCCAGAATGGATTTCCCAAATGTATGCATGTATTAAATGCAAACAGCCCTCATACTGAGATCTATTATCTCAGTGTTAAACTGAAGAGTTAAATGTTCAAATGTGTTGCCATAAGAAAAGCCCCCACAAAATTACAAAGAACCCTCAACCACAACTGTTACACATGAGCCTGTCTCATATTTACACAAAGCGATTGATACCATTTCCACATTCATAAACAGCATTAGTGGGTTTGCTTTGAATTAAAACCATTCTAAAAGAGCCACTTCCAACATGAAAACCAGGCAATTAATGCGAGATACTACATGAGGGCCCCAGCTCTGCCTCTGTTCTTTTGTTTCTAAGGGACAGACCCACGCAAAGCAGATGGAAAGCCTTTTCATAGCAATGCAGAACTCTCAGATACAGAATCAGCCCATATACTCCATCTCTATTTATATCCTATTCCATTTATTGTTTTCTGATGTGTTGGACATGAGGAAAGCGGCCACAATAAATCCAGACAGAACTGTCATTTCTAAGCTGACTCTGTTGTATGGCTGGTGTGCAGGAGATAGGAATGGGCTTTTGGACTCACCTGTTGAACTTCACTTTCTCCATTGGATATCTTCTCTGTGTACACAAAGGAGTTGAATATCCTCTGCAAGACAAACCAGAAAGGATGTGTAAGAAGGGTTCTGCCAAAAAATGCCCCATTAAAACAACCCCAAATGGCCCCGCAGTGAGGAAATGGGTGTCAGAAAAGGACCATTTCACTTGGGAGTCTCTAATGCAAGCTTACCCCAGGGGAATCGCATCCCTCTATACCTGTTTGTGGATCTGCATGAAGAGGCTGCTTTGGGATTTGAAGACTAAGACATAAAAAGGGTTTTTCTCAAAACATCTGTTAGTTACCAAACTGACATAAGGTGCTAAGAGAAGTGTTTCACATTAGAAAGCTACTGCTGTGCAAACTGAGACTGTTCTAGTGCTAAACGCAACATCACTAGTTTTAAGAGTACTTGTTTCCAGCCAACACACAAGAGCTGTGAGCCAAATGCAGATATATTTGGTACCTGGGAAAGAGAAAAATGAGACCTGCTTTTGAACACAATCAGACTGAGCTCACTACTGGCAGAAAAAGGCTGTGTCAGAAGATGGAAGTAGGAGCTGTGTCCTCCCGTGGGAAAGCTTCTCATCTGATCCCAGTGGGACATGAGTGCCTCCACAGGTGACAGCCACACTGCCAGTGCTGCTTATTTACAGTGGTTACATGGAGGGGAAACCACTCAACACTTGTTAATATTCTGCTTCCAGACTGAAAGGTAAGATTGGAAGGATTTGGGCTTACACTGATGGCATTCCTGAAAAGTTTGCCTGATACACCAAAGTTTTGCTTTCAGGATTTCTCATTTCCAAGGGCAGCTTTCCCCTCTGGGACAGAGGAGGCCATGGGGATGCTGCAAGGGCTGGAGCAGCTCTGCTCTGGAGCCAGGCTGAGAGAGCTGGGCTGGGGCAGCCTGGAGAAGAGAAGGGTCCTGAAGGGGAGACCTGAGAGCAGCTCCAGTGCCTAAAGGGGCTGCAGGAAAGCTGGAGAGGGGCTTGGGACAAGGGCCTGTAGGGACAGGCCAAGGGGAATGGCTTGAACCTGCCAAAGGGATGACCGAGAGGAGCTCTTAGGCTCAGGTTGGACACAGGGGCTTGGAGCAAGCTGCTCCAGTGGAAGGGGTCCCTGCCCATGGCAGCGGTTGGAGCTGGATGAGCTTTAAGGCCCCTTCCAACGCAAACCAGGCTGGGATTCCATGACAGTGGGGCCATCCCCACTAGAAAATACACAAGTGTCCCAAAATATTCATAGAATCATACAATGGTTTTCAATTCCTTTTCATTCTTTTGCTGTCTTAACAGCAACAGTGGCTGCATAGCGCAACGAAGATGTGAGACAATAGGATCAGCCAGAACAAGAATAGTGCTGGTTATTAATTATCAAGAAACATAACATTAATATGTTGAGGTTATTTTTAGAATCATAGAATCACAGAATAGTTAGGTTTGGAAAGGACCTTAAGATCATCCAGTTCCAACCCCCTGCCATGGGCAGGGACACCTCACACTAAACCATTTCACCCAAGGCCTCGTCCAACCTGGCCTTGAACACTGCCAGGGATGGAGCATTCACAACCTCCCTGGACAACCCATTCCAGTGCCTCACCACCTTAACAGGAAAGAATTTCCTCCTTATATCCAATCTAAACTTCCCCTGTTTCAGTTTGAACCCATTACCCCTTGTCCTATCACTACAGTCCCTAATGAAGAGTCCATCCCCAGCATCCCTATTTATGGCATTATACATTGAAAAACAAAAACAAAAAAAGCAAGCCTATTAAGTTATGAAGGATCTTCTAAATTCCTCCCATCCTTGTGCTCAAGTGCACTCTTTGGGGTAACCAAAGGACAGGGAGTGTTCGCAGGTTCCACAGGAAAATAAAACAGCTCCATCTGTATATCAAACACCTTCTCCATAAGCACGATATCCAGTACAGAAGCTGAAATAATTTTCCAGGCAGATCCATATTAAAATGCTGACCCTTCCTTGCAAACACAGGGGTTTGCAGCACCCTGCACGCAGGCCAAACCTGAGGTGACAGAGAAAAACAACTGCACTACTGGGAAATACATCCTATAACCTCAAATATACCAAAATACAGTATTAAGTAATATAAGCAGAAAGAACACAGATGGTGGAATCCTTCCGAGGTTGTGGAGGAGATATAAAACATAAGAAGTCAATGAGATTTTTCTCTACCAGCCTCAGGGGGAGCTGGAATGTCACTGACGAGTGGATTCTGTACCAGTGTCAAGCCAAACCCATGACAACACATCTGTAGGCACAGCCACATCTGGTGAAGGGCAGTGATTAATAAAGACCCTGTTGAGTCCCACTCTTGATGTGAGGGTTGTGAAACTACCAAGACTCATTAATACAGCACTAGGACAAGCTGGAATCAGCTCTCCAAATTACTAACTATAACAACTGCTATTATTAAATAGGTTGACATTTCATCCAAATCCAGTTTAATCATCCATCCATGACTCCAAGAGTTTTCTTGATGCAGGTTTACCCGATTTCCTCCTAGTAAGGCTACACAGAGCTACAACTGGCCAAACCAGCCTGGAAACCCCTTTGGTGTGCTCTGCTCCATTTAGGATCAACACTTTCCCTTATCCCTCTCCCTCCTGAGGACTTCAGGAATGTCAAAAATTTGAACTCTTCATTCTAAAGCAGCATTTGGAAGGGCAGCAATAAATCTCCTCAGTTTACAAGTCTCAGAGACAAGAAGAAGGGGGAAGGGAAAGCATCTACTCTTAAAAGGCGCCCATACATTGAGACTTCCTCTCCTTCCAGGCCTTTGTTTAAAGTTCTGCTTGGGCACTCTAACTACAAACACGTTGGCTTTCCCCCCCCACACACCCCCATGAGATGAAAAGATAATTTAAACATCAGAAGAACCTACATTAAAGCACGTCATTTTGATGCAAAATGTCTTAAATGAACTGAATTTTTCTCTCCCTGCAGCATTTAGTCTCCAGACATCAAAAGGAACAAGAAGGAAACAAACTGTCAGCTACCGAGACTGGAGCTTTCTGTCCTCAGCACAAAGCTGACCCTTCCTCCCCCTTTAACACGGAGCCGTGTTTAGGGACTACCAAACTGATGCCAGGGAACATTACACACGGCTATGGAAGAGTCACCGTGCAGCAGCGATTTCTTTGCACTGGGTTAGGTTTTGAACCTATCTTTAATGATTGATAATTTAACCAAGTTCCATAGAACATTATGGTATCTTAACAAAAAGCGCCGTGCATGTCAGTGAGGAGGTAGCAGGAGATACTCAGGGTATCTGCTCCCTGTTCAAGAACTCCTATATGGAATTACACTGGAGACAGAAACATCTCCCTCTTGTATTTAAGCCAATTTCATTAATTTAAAAAGTGATTTAACTCTGAGTACAAAACCAGAGCTAAGTGGCAACCTCCAAATCAGAGGGGCTGGAGCAGCTCTGCTCTGGAGCCAGGCTGAGAGAGCTGGGCTGGGGCAGCCTGGAGAAGAGAAGGCTCCTGAAGGGGAGACCTGAGAGCAGCTCCAGTGCCTAAAGGGGCTGCAGGAAAGCTGGAGAGGGGCTTGGGACAAGGGCCTGTAGGGACAGGCCAAGGGGAATGGCTTGAACCTGCCCAAGGGGAGACTGAGCTGAGCTCTTAGGCAGAAGAGATGCCCAGAGGATGACCACATGGAAGGATTCCTGAGAAAGCTGGGGTTTGCTTTACAAACACACACTTTCAACATGTTAAACTCTTGCTTTCCTAAGCTCTTTAATTACCTGTCTGGGTCAAAGCACTTGCAACTTCCTAGAAGACATTCTTCTATGGATCTAGATACATCCTTTACTGACTTTGGTTAACAACCAAGTGCTTCCCGGTGCCAGAGACTCTGGTGCTGCCAGAGTCTCTGGTGCTCTTCCCTGTGAGGGTGCTGAGGCGCTGGCACAGGGTGCCCAGAGAAGCTGTGGCTGCCCCATCCCTGGCAGTGCTCAAGGCCAGGTTGGACACAGGGGCTTGGAGCAAGCTGCTCCAGTGGAAGGGGTCCCTGCCTGTGGCAGGAGTTGGAGCTGGGTGAGCTTTAAGTTCCTTTCCAATCCAAACCAGTCTGGGATTCTATGAAATGAAGCTCAGGGAACTTCACAGACCCAAGAGTAAGTCAGCTCCTCAAACTCACAATAACAGCCCAAACATTTAGGAGCACTTGTCCTCCTGGTTTACACAGCACATTAGCATCTGTACTTTATACTTCCCACCCCTCATGTTTATTTGAATCTGCTGAGCAGATGGCAGCAGGCAAAGTTCACTCCAACAGGACCAATTACACACGTGCTTAATGAGATGCTCTCCTGGGATTATTTGCCAGAGCTCATCAGCACAATGCACGAAGGCTGCAACCGCTGCACTGGTTCAGCATCCAGCCTTCCCCTGCCGAGCTGCTGCTGTACCAGATACAGCTATCTGCATCCCCATCAGCCCTCCCAACACCACCTCAAGCCCTAAAACAGCATTTTATTGTGGTTTTCTCCATTTGGCCACCCTCTTTTAAGTGTATAATAATGCTTATAAATATCCAGGCTCCTGCTGAACATCAGTCAAGTATGCAAAAAAGATTCGTTTTTCTCAGGAATTCTCTAATTCCTTTGAACCTGATGTCTTTCCAAGCCAACATCTTTGTTCTTGTGGCACACAGCAGAGGACAGCTCCATCCTATACACTATCCACTACTTATCTTAGGTGCTGGGCTGACAACAGTTGCTCACAGTCATGTTCCAACACACCCGCACACAGAGCACACAGATACTCCAATGGCTTAGTTTCATCAAGCAGATTTCTACCAAGGTTTCTGACTTTAAAAAATCATTAGAAATAAAAGCAACTTTTGTTTTTCAATCCAAACTCTGAATTAAATGTCAAGATTTGGGGTAGAAAACAGCATTTTGTGCTTCCATGGCTTACCCAGCACAGCAAGAGGACTTTGCTTCATTCAGTTCAGGTACCTCCGCCACAAAACACAAAGCTCAGAAGTAAGCACAGTGGAAGACCTCATCAAAACTCGTGAGT